TAGATGCTGTTCTTTTTCCCTCCTCTTTCCTCCCCACCCTCAACCCTCAGATAACTACTCAGTGGGTTCTCTTCCCTAAGAACTCTTTTCTATCACTTCTCAGTCTTTTGGCCAAGATGAAAAGGAACAAGAATCTTCTCCTCTGTGGAATCCCCTCCCCCAGGAGTAGCACTCTCTTTCCTTTGGTCTCCTACTCCCAACCTTTGCAGACTGAGTTTACCTGGCTGGTTTGTTGATCCTTTTGTCAAATCCAATTTGTATTTTTATCCTGATGATTTCTTGTTTTGAGCTGTTCAAGGGCAGGGTATTGATGCATCCACCCCTCAGACACCATGACTATTGAGCACATGGGTTACATCTACATTTCCTCTTCAAACAGATTTCTTAAGTTTCACTATAAACAAGTAGATTTCCCAATTGGCGCATATTTAAGAGCTTCCTCCCTAACAGCATTACATAGAATAAAATGGTGTAGGCCATTGGCCACATCTGTAGTTCCATGGCATTTGCACTGACTGTCCTCCAGGTCTGATCGCCTTCCATTTTCCTCTCCCTTTCTTAGAATCCCTAGCTTTCCTGGTCAAATGCCACCTTTTTCCACTCACCCAGCCAACTCATGGTTGTTAGTGGTCTCTTCTCCTCAAATGACCTTGTATTTACTTAGCTGCATATCCTGAGTAGGGCCCCAGGACAATGTAAACTCCTTGAAAACAGGAACCTGTGTGTATACACATCTACTACCTAGCATAGTTCATTACCCAAAGCAAGTGATTAGTCTTTATTGAAGTGAAATGATTTCATTCCCTAAGACATTACACATATTGAACATATGGTCTCTCTTGCATTTTATTTTAAATTTTCTCTACACAAAAGGTAGATATCCTAACTGGCAGAGTTTCAAGGACTCACTGAATAACAAGAAGTTATTTTTTTAAAAAGAAATGATAAGAAAATGAATCTAGTTCCTCATCTGTATTAGCTCAAGAATCATTCAGATAACCATTGTCAGATAGTTGAAGGATTAAGTTTATGAGAATGTTTCCCAGGGACAATTTATATTGCAGAGATCACCAAAAATTTCTTAATGTGAAATGAGACTATAAGAGAAGCTTTTCTAAACTGCCTAAAAATGATACAGAGAAAAAGATACAGTCTTCTGTAACAGCTTCTGTGGCAAACACACATTACAGTGTCCAACTTTATGGTGATGAGCCCCTCTGAATTGGGCAGGGCTGGTCCTCCAAAGACACAACCATATCCATATCCAGGTATTTACTTGAAGCCTTTGCCCTACAGTAGGACCTACCAGGTCTTTGTATCTGCTGGCATAGCCTTGGTAAACCCAGAGGCACCTCCATGCCATGATCTGGGAACAGAGGAGGACTTTAGAGGAAAAAAAAATAAATGTCAGCACTGTAAAATTATGTGTATTCTAGAACCTTAGTTTACTCCTTTCCATGCTCTAAACTGAAAGAATGTGTTACTGGGAGAAATAATGTTATAATGAGGTCCTTCTGTAATTCTATTACTAAATAAATTCTTTGGACAGTTTCCAAGATGGACTCTACCTTATACTGAGGTCTGTACTGCAGTAAATCAAGGCATCAAGATAAGCATTATGTTTTGCCTTCAATGAGGTATCAAAGACAAAAAAAAATTTATAGCATGATGATTGAGAAGTAAAGGCTTAACTTAATCATGTGCTTATTCATTGTAATTAGTCCTTCCTTACATTAAATTTAGGGGAAAATGGTATGTAACACAAGACCTGATTGATCTTAAATATTCAAAAGCTAGACAAAATTTTATAACATCGTTATCCTAAAGTCACAATTACTAAAAAAGCAGTACTTATCACTTTGAGTGAGTATCTGACACCTTTCTAAGCCCAATAAATGAGCAAATCCTCTGTATTCGTTCTTTACAGGATGAACTTTTTGTCTAATGCTTAAGGTGTCATCTAATGTTGACATTATCCCAGAGTTTGGATTTTAACCAAAACATGATATGTCTGCTTGTGTGGCAGCTTTATGTCAAGACACTTTACTTAAATCAATTACCCGTGTCAGAATTTTGCATCTTGAAAGGAAGTATCCCAAGTCTGGAACCAAAATGTTATTGACATAAAAAAAATTTTTTTAAATGGCTTGTAACTTTCTTGAGAAACAGTTGGTGAATGGTGGCAAATGGGGCATAAAAAAATGAAACAAATGATGCCAGAAAATACTATCTAACCTGGCAATTGAAGACCATAAAACCCTAGCATTTCTCCAAGCAGTCCTGGGAGACAAAAGCATATGTCTCATGGGTAAGTGACTGAGCTGATGGAAAGTACTGACTATGTATGGCTCAATCTTTTAATGTCTGAAATTGGAACCATAACTTTGACTTGACACTTTACCAACCCTGTATTTTGTTCAGACTGGAGACTTGGAGACTTAGAAAAAAAAGCAGAACTATACTAGAGCCAACCAACACGACAGTTGATGTGCTACTGTATGCATCTAGTTTTGGGAAATTATTCCTGAAGATCAAGGAGCTACAGAAACATGAAATGGCAAAGGGCAGGCTCTTGTGTTGACTTTGACTGTTTCATGAGCTGAAATCAAGACTTTTCCCCCACAGCTCTGCCCATGACACAGAACAGACACTTTGAGTTTCCAGATACAGTATGAATGAGCTTTGTTCAAGAGAAGGGTTTCTTAATGATGTGCAGTCAATAGGGGAGGGGAGAGACTGGATCAACACAGTTGGAATGGCTTAAGACGGTGGAGACAGAAGGACTTAACAAGATGGTGTGAAAAGCCCTGAAGCAGCCAAGATGTCTGTTACAACCCCTGTGTGGACACACCAATTATAATTTATAAGGCTTTAGGAAAGGGAGAACAGATATAAGAAAGGAGGAGAAGATAGAAACCACCATCAATGCAAACAGGGATAATGAAGACAGAAAAAGGGGAGGGATCATCAATGGATGAAAAAGCCAAGCAGCACATGCTGAAGGACTGGCTTTCATAATAAGAATAAATTGATTGAGAATGTCTTTAATTTTTTTTAAAATAGGTTAGGCCCGTTTGGGCTGGAAAATTGAAACATTTCCACAGTTAAAATGTGACAGTTCATAAGGAGCTATATTGTTTTATTATTTTGGGTACAAAAGTTAACATTTCAGATTTTCCATAATTTCCCACAAATACAATGATGTCTGTTTAGGAAACAGACTTAATAGATAATCTTTGAGACCTGATATAGATAGAGGCAGACTAAAGCATGTATAGTGACTTCTGTTTCACATCTAGGACAACCACAGAGCCTGTTTTCCTGCATTTTACTCCAGGATGTTCACATAACTTAGTTTGGAGGACTTAGAACATAAGTCCTTTTTGACATTTTGTTTGTCTCACTGTTCAGATAGACCTCAGTTCCCATTTCACAGGAGCTCATTTGAGCTACCATAGCATGACTTTTGACAAGTTGTTCCACCTTTGCTTCAATTTCTTCAATTGGAAAATACAATTTTACCTTGATAGAGCATGATTTCATGAGTATGAGTACTCATACCTTCAAGGCAGATCACAACTCAGCCAGACCTTTTCATCCTTAGAATTCTTGCCTGTGTCTTTCCAGAAATTCTCCATGGATTACCTACCTAATATGCTGGAGGTCTTGCTCTTTGTCTTTTAATGCATCATCAATAACAATGCAATTTGTGCTGTCCATCTCTTATCCCGCACCCTCTCTTTATGGCCAACCAATCTCCATTTTCAGTCCTACAGGTCTTTGGTGATGTTTCCATAGGTGAATCCTGTGGCCTACTTTCACATACCATATGTCTTTTCCTTGTTCTTAGGATTATTTATTATTTTTATCCTTCTGAGGACATGGTAGACCATGATTCAGAGTCACATAGGATAACAAGGAGGAAATTGATATAAAAAAGATAGGCTTTGGTAACATTGGGCTATTTGGGTTCATTAAATGCATAATGGAAATGTGCTTACGAAATAAATTGACTTAGTATATAATATTTTAGGCTTCCACAAACACAGACGAATTAAAACAGAGAAAGATGTTTCTCATTCACATCCAGAATACATGTAGGACTTGTCTTTCTTAATTTTGAAAAATAATCTGCCTTATATAAGGTAGTTCTCCATATTGGAGAGTAAAAAGAGTTGAGGAAAAAGAAGAGAAGAATTCATAAGGGAAGTAAGTCAGTGGGACAGAATTTGGTGATGATGATGATGATGATGACAATGATGATTATGATAGCAGATTACATGTATTTAGCACTTTAAGGCTTGCAAAGCACTTTATAAATACCATCTTTAAATTTAGAGGCAGCTGGTGGCACAATAGATAGAGTATTGGACCTTGAGTGAAAAAGAACTGGATTGAAATATAGCCCCAAACATTTAGTAGCTATTGACCCTGGGCATGTCACTTAACCGCTGTTTGTCTCAGTTTCCTCAACTGTAAAATGAGGATAATAGTAGCACTTATTTCACAGAGTTCTTGTGAGGTTCAAATGAGGTGATATTTGTAAAAATATGTTTAGCATAATGCTTGACAAATAGTAGGTGCTACATAAATGCTTATTCCACTTATCCTTTATTTTATTTTAGCCTAACAACAACCCTGGGAGGTAGATGCTATTGTTATTTTTATCAAGTTTTACAGATTAGGAAGGTGAGGTAAATGGCGGTTAAGTGATTTGCCCAGGATCACACAGCCAGTAAATGGGTGAAGCTGGAATTGAACTCAGGTCATCCTGAATCCAGGTCTAACACTAAATCCACTGGATCACCTACCTGGAAAATATTACTTCTTCAGTGTGAAAAAAAATCTGAGTTTACCTAGTAGTGTTATTGTAGGAAATTACTATTAAAAATGATAAAGCTATTTAAAATAGAAATACTAAATATAATCACCTTCTTTCTGGCATGGAAGATGGATAGATATTCACAGATCTTGATGACTTTTGCTTTGTCTTCTCCTAGCTGGTCAGTGGGGAACTGGAGCACCTGCAGCTTGACCTGTGGCATAGGAGAACAATCTAGGCTGGTTCAGTGCATACAGCGGATTCACTCTAAATCAGAGGTGGTCTCTGCCACTCTTTGCCCTCAGCCAATCCCTCCCAGCAGACAGATCTGTAATACACAGAGCTGCCCACCAGCCTGGAGTGCAGGGCCCTGGTCAGAGGTAAGTTATTCAGACTACAAGCAGGGGGCAGAGAAATGAGGTCAGTGCCTCTTTCTAAACCTTGCTTTTACTGATGCCATTTAGAGGCTTCCTCCTGAAAACCCACAGGCCAGCCTACTGTATTTGCCTTTGTTGGATTTGTCTTCCCATTATTTACTCATTGCTCTTCTTTAGTGTTCAAGAACATGTGGGAAAGGATGGAAAAAGAGATCAGTGACCTGTAAAAGCACTAACCCGTCTGCTCGGGCTCAGATTCTGCCTGATGCTGTCTGTTTCACAGAAATGAAACCCCAAACTCAAGAAGCCTGTTTGCTTAAACGCTGCCATAAGCACAAGAAACTACAATGGATTGTGTCTGCCTGGTCAGAGGTGGGTACATCTCAATTCTGATTAATTGCTAGAATGTCATTCCAGTAGGTGTGAAAGAAGGTGCTAAATTAATTCTTTTTCAAAGTTAATTAATTTTATTCTTTTCAAAGACACTGTATATCTTTTCAGAAGGTACTGAGGCCTAACACTGAACACTCACTAAAAAACTACCCTGTATAGAGGACTGGTCACAGTGCATATGGTTGTAATATCAGTGTTCCCATGGAAATCTAAATCCCTTGGCTTCAACTCCAGTGTTCTTTTCATAATACACTGCTTCTCATTTAAAAGAAAAATCACATGGATGGTGATATCCACCAGGAGCATCATCTTCAAAATAAAAAAGAATGTATGAATAAATTACTGTGCCTAGTGCCTGATTGAATTCAGTTGAATATCTTCTTTGGGTTGACACAAGTTACATTTAAAGAAAATGCTTAACTGGAGTTTGTATCAGGCATCAGGATATTGGGGCATCTAACTGAGATGTCTTGCCTAAATTGGTCATTAGAGGCTATTTTTAAATTTGAGAAATAGATTTTTAAAACATGAAAAAGTGACTCTACCAGGGACATTCAAGTGCATAATTTTGGGACAATCAGTAATTAGGATTATATGCAAAATGAGCCTCTCAATTTGTTTTAGCATCCATTATATCTTCTAAGAGAAAGATTTAAACACCATCTCTCATTGAAATTAGTTTACTGTTTATAAGTCCTTTTGATCTGAGAGATGTGTAGGGACAATCAGAGCAATAGTAGAAGATATAACATGTCTGATTCTCTGCCTAAGGTCTGCAAGGACCTGTAAAACTCATGTGACTTGCACCAGATTAAAGTATAATTGGAAAATGATTCACAAAATTAAAAAATACAACATAGATAATATTAATATGTGATTTTCTAAGTCAATGTGCAGTAGCAGGGATCTGTTTCTATTTAAGTTTGATGTAAAGGATAGGATTCAAGAATATTTTGTACCTTCCACAACTTTGGTATAGTTACTTCTAAAGATAGGAAAGAGGAAAAATATTTAGATTTCTGAAAACATTAAATTGATTGCATGGCCTTTATTATGATATCCCTGATTGAAATACTACAATTAACATAAGGCACTTATACCTAAAATGTAAAACTCAGGTCTTAAGTATAGCCACCATCAAATAGATATTTAAAGCTTAATTATTTGGCCTACTGACCCCTTTTAAAAAAAATTACTCAGTGCCCCCCTTGGAAATCTACTTTCTTTAACCCTTTAATGTTTTTCTTTTGAAATTTGCATCATTTCAAAAATATATAAAATATTTTAAATGTTGCATCTTACATCTAATAATTTATTGTAAATTTGTGGGTTTTTCCTCCATTGAAATTTTGTTGATGTAATATTGCATCATGTAACCCTATACTATCATATTATAAACAAGTCATTACATGCACATATTCCCAGTGATACATGCTGGACTTCCTGGCAATGTGTGACATGGTTGCCTGCCAGTACTTACTTGTTAAGGCCTGACGGTGGACTGATCAGGTATAACTTGCATTTTGTATGTTTATTTGGAAAATAATGTAATCACTATGACTTTAACTCAGTTACACATCAGATGAAACATGTATGAACAGTTTTTCAAAATTCTTATCTTCTTTCTTTATGTTTCCACTGCCCCCTTATTTTTATTCAATGCCCCCCAATTGCACCTGAGGCTACTACCACCCCCTGGATCATTCCAGTGCCCCCCAGGAGTCGGCATCACCCGCTTTGGGAACCTATGGGAACTTTCCCTAGACATTTTTGAGCTTATTGTACAGTACAATCATTTTTCCCTAATTCCAAAGCCACTACCTGCTACTGTTTGAGCTGTAAGATCTAGCCTCATAGGACACTTGGCCCATGGTAATAGCTAAGTTCCTCCACCCCACCCCTTTTAATAAAAAAATGTTCCTGGTTTTTATCTGGAAATCATTCTCATGTGAGCCATGTGACCTCACGGAACTGGAACTATTTATCTTCTGTTTTCAGGGAAGTATAAGGTACCTAAGTGCTTTGCTTTCAGGGGTATATGCACTAGCAGAGCAGTTGGCTTTCTGGGACAACAGCCCCTGTGTGAAACTTGGTAGAGCTCATGGACTTTTGCATCAAATAGTGGAATATGCCAGTTGGCCCTGCGTTTTTTCTTTCAATGAAGCCTCGAATAAGTTCCAATACAACATGAGAGCATCTACTGGGGAGATGCCATTTGGTCTCACTCCCAGACATTATTCCTTTCTTCTCTTCTCCTGCTTCCATTCTTTAGCTTCTGTACTATGTTGGTGATCTCTGTCACATTGGCCCAGCCCTTACTGACCTCATGGTAAGGTGGGATAAAGAGTATTGTGAGACCTAGTCTTGGCAACAAAATCAGTCTATAGTTGTGGGGGTAGAAAAAAAACCCAAAAACTATTGAGAAAGGAGCACAGAGGTAGTATTCACCAAGTAGAAGCTGTATTATTTAAGCAGGAGATCATCCATAACCAATCAGGAGAGGAAACAGGGATAGCACATGTCAACCAAGAAACAGCCAGGACCAGACAATGACCAGCTAACCAAGCAAAGGCTCAGAAAACACAGGAATTCAATGAGTCTCGGATGGGTTCCACAGAGCCAGCAGCCACAATATCACTTTCATTCTCATTGAGTCATGTGTTTCAAGACTGTTCTGCCTACGCTGCTCTGGTCTGCCAGCAAGTATCACCTGGTACTGAAAGCCAGTATGCACACAAAATCCTTTTTAAAAAGATAGTCAATATATTTAGTTAAAACAATTACATCTGAGGTCCACTAAGTTTTGTTATAATCATGTTAAAACTGTTAGTGATTATATAACATTTTAACTTCCATATTGAATTTTGTTCTAAAATTATTACTTCAGAGGAATTATTTCAATCCCCTTGTTTTTATTCCTTCTCTTTTTTTCTTTTAGTGCTCTGTAACTTGTGAAAGAGGAATACAGAAAAGGTTGTTAAAATGTGCAGAAAAATATGTTTCTGGAAAATACAGAGAGCTGGCTTCAAAGAAATGCTTACATTTGCCAAAGCCAAACCTGGACTTGGAAAGAGAATGCACCCTGTCTTCATGTCCCAAGCAAACAGTGTACTCTGCAGTGAGACATGTTAGGGGCACTTGGTACTCTTCTCCCTGGTCTCAGGTACTTGACAGTTTTAAATTCTCAGAGGCTTAGTAAGCAAAATTTATGGCTCTGCTGTTTGGTGGTGAAGTTTAAACAGTGATGTTTCCTCAGAGTTTCAGTCCCCAGTGTCCTATTAAACTGCTTTATTACATTTATTTTAAAGGCATGGATGTGTGTATGTGTCTTTTAGGGGTTGATATCCAATTGTTACAGAGCCTTTAAGAGCATGTATGTGTCCTTTGCTCAGAATTATCACCCACTCATCACATATAGGAAGATTTAATGCTATGGGTGAGATGGGGGCAGAATTCCCCATAGAATAACTATGAAAAGAAACAACCACTCCAGAATGAAGAGGTGGATTAAAGTTCATGGTAGATTAACTAGGGAGTTTCACAAGTCCAAATATATACTAGATATCATGTGAATTGTTTACATACACTTAAGCAGAGCCAGCTTTTAGCTGGTAAATTCAGGGAGGTTTGTCTTTTGTCCATACCATTTTCTCCCCCTGCCCTGTTTGCTCCATCTTTCCCCAATTTTATTTTTTTTCTTTTTAAACAAACATGTGAAATAACAACAAAATGTTCATGTATGGTCTTTGTCTCAATAGTTGACATTTCATCTATTCCTAGAAGCATAAGGTATAGTCCTGATTATATCCCTCACATCTTATTCTCTCCCTCTTCACTTTCATTTTACTTCTTTTCTCTTCTTCCATTTCCTTTTTCTTTCATTTTAATTCCTTTTTGCTGTCTCTTCAATTACCTTGCCTTTTTCTACAACCCCAATTTCTTTGCCTTCCATTTCTCTGGGTGCTGAGGGAAGAAGATATGGAAAGAGTAAGTAAGACATGGAGTGGAAGATTCAATGCACCAGCAGTATTTTTTTTTAACTCTGGATAAAATATAGCACCCTCACTTTGTTGACTGACTCATCTGCCTACACATAGCACTGACTGCATTTGGGTCCTTTCTTAAGCCAATCACTCCATTCACTCCTGATCTTGTAACATCTAATTCTCCCACATAAACAGTTCAGTGAGGATGGCCTTAAAGAGGACTAACCATCTTCCCCATTATGTCAGGGGTTTCTGCTTCCTCATCTAACTTACGGGATCCAGGAATCTCCCATCAGTCCAGGTCACCCCTGATTCTTTTGAGGACAAAGGGAGAATCAGAAATATCCATTTCCTCGATCTTTGTTCTCCTCAATCCCAAAGACAATTGACTATCTCAATCTTTTAAGACAGCAAGAGTTAGTTGTCTATTCGTGTCTTTTCCCCCTCTGTAAATATCGTGTGACCCATACAAAACAAGACAGACAAATAATGTTGAAGGATATGCCAAATCAAACTAACTCTTCTATGAAAATCTGAAGGCTATCATAACCCAACTCTCCTTTAAAAAAAAAGAAAAAAAAGAAGGTTGTTTTTAAGCCCATGCATTTGTTTTCAGGGAATACTTTCAAATCATTTCTTTCTCTTGCTCAATTTATATTCCTTTCCCATTAGTCGAATTCTGTAATTGATGCCTGGTCCCTGGTATACAGAATACAGGTTATTTGGATAATGTATACAAGGTCTAATTTTCTAGTGAAAATCTATGAACCATCAAAATATTTACATGCATATGTGTATCCTTTAGGCAGTACAGTGAAGCAGGTCTAGATTTGTGCATCTTGGGAAGTGGAGAAGTATTTTTTAGAAGCTAAATAAAATGAAGGCCACTAACAATTATGTTATTCTTAGTCATGAGCCTCTTTTATTGCATAACTCCTCTTTACCCTTGTTTACGTATCTTGTTCATTAAATGGATCCTTTATACAGCCAGATCCTCCAAAAATCTTCTCCAAAAAATAAAGGGAAGAAGTGCAGGTTCCCATAATGAATGGAGACTGGCACTCAAATGGAAGATTAGTGCAGCTGTTGACTGAATTCAAATTGAAGTCCCCATCCATTTTGCATTAGTTCAGTTAAAGCAAATTCCTCTCAAGCCTTTTAATTATTGAACTATGTACTTCCAACCAGGATGGCCTGGCTTTACATGTTGACCCATGAGAAGTCAGCTTTCCAGTCCATATTCAGCTCCTACTGTACCCACAAGATACCAAACAGAATCCATCTGCCAATATTCTAAGATAGCACTTCTCTGATCATGTAGTTATGTAAATATATCTACAGGATATGCAGTTTTGTTTTAGAAGAATGATGACAATCTGTATAATTTAATCCATATCTGTTGATCGATTTTCAAAGAGACAGAGTAGGATAATGGTTAGAAAGCTAGTCTGGGAATCTGGAAAATTTGGGTTCAACTGTGGCCTCTGACATATACTGGTTGTGTAGACTGTGGCAAATCCCTTTCCCTCCCCATGCCCCCAGGCAACTTTCTAAGGCTAGAAATTGCAGAGAAGGTATAGATCTTCATTAATAGGAGTTTAGTTACATGGAACACCCTATATTTTTGAAATTATAAGTCATTAAAATTGTTTCTTACTGATTTTTAGTGGGGTTGAAAGGAAGGAAACATGTATTAAGCATCTACTATTTGCCATGCACTAAGCTATGCATTTTATTAATATTATCTCATTTGATCTTCACAACAACCCTGGGAGGTAGGTGCTATTATTATTCTTATTTTACAATTGAGGAAACTGAGGCAAACAGAAGTTAAGTGACTTGCCCAGGGTAACACAGCTAATAAGCATTTGAGGCTAAATTGGAACTCCGGTCCTCCTGTCTCCAGATCTGCTGCTCTAACCATTATGCCACCTAGCTGACTCTGAGTTGAGTGGGTAAACAGTGTTTGACCTAGTGATTTCATTTGTGATAGAAATCCTTGTGGGGAAACTCTGCCAACGCAGATTGAGCATTATTTTGTAATTTATAGTCTGAAATTAGGACACTTGAGAGGTTAGGGAACCTGCACAGAGTCATACAGACAGTTTGCGTCAGAGGTAATACTTCAACACAGCTCTGACTTATTCTGAGACAGAAACTCTTTGCCTCCTATAATACTTTACCTATTTTTTTCAGGAAGTTAGTAATAGCCAATAATTTGGAAGAATATTCTCCCTAACATGAATGAGTATATACAACCATAGGCAACATTGTGATGGAAGTGAAATTATTCTTTTAGCAATTCTCCTACCTATTTTCAGATCACTTTGTGCTTTCATGTTTCGTCCTCGCTGTTCAAGAGGCCTCTACTGTGGTACTCCATTCAAGACTACCTTACCCAATTCAAAAACCTATCCCTCTCTCCACTCCTTCCCCCCCCAAAAAAAAAATCTCACTTATCTTTTTTTCCAGATCCTCTTAAAGTCTTGAATTTTACTTTCAGATGTCAACCACTTAGCTGAGAATTCATCCATGCAGAGATATTATAGACCGATAACAGTATAATGAAATGTCACTCAAAGACTATTTGCATTTTAATGAGAGAATCTTCAACACATGATAGGTTGAAATTATAAGTGAGCAAGTTTTGATCAAAATAAGGAAGAACATCCCAAAACCTAAGGTCACCCAACAAATTTGATAGGCTAACACTCAAGGTAGTGAGTTCTCCACCACCCTGGAAACATTCAAACAGAGGCTGCATGCCCACTTGTTAGAGATGTTGTAGAAGGAATTAATGCTTCAAGGAAAGGTTGGACTAGACATACTTGGAACGACATTCCTACTATAAACTCCAATGACTCTAGTGACTTCCAATAATGTCACCTAAGAGATTATGAATATTTAACTAAATGATAAAACATTTTCCTATATTCATCTACAATTTGGAGTCTTCACTTTCCAAAGTCAGTCTATTCCAAAGAATGTCTGGGCATGTTTTCTCCCATTCTAGGAAGGACCCCTTTTTCCCAAAGGAATATAATAGAAGTCTAACACTGAGCTTTGTCCTTCTCCAAACACCGCAGCAGTACATATAGTGGTGGTTATAGCACTTAACTATAGGCCAGGAGGTACTGCTTTAGTCCTGGCTTTGCCACTAATCATTTATGTGACCACACACAAATCCACTCACTTTTCTGAGTCTCAATTTTCTCATCTTCAGACTGAGAGGACTGAACTATCTGATCTCTAAGGACCTTTTTTTCCCTTTAAACTTTGGTGATTCTAGGATTCTCTCATAATGCTAGTTGTGGTTGACATTAATGCCAGGGTCCTCCCAGCACTGTGTGCTATGTATCTATGCCTCCCACTATGTGAAAGGAGAGAATATCTCAATGCATCTTGCTATATCCCAAGGGTCAGCTCCTGAGCATAGGAATGGCCATTAGTATATGCAGTGACAAAAGAGACCATGGTCATGTCAGGAAAGAAGTCATATGTCAGAGCCAAAAGTGACTTTAGAGATCATCCAGGCTAGCAGCCTCAATTTACAGGTGAGGAAACTAAGGAACAGAGAACCTGGCTTTCCCAAATTCACCCATCTAGGAAGTAGAAGAGCTGGGGTAAGAATCTACATAAACTGGGATTTCTTCTACTATAATGTATGGTGTGTTGCCAGGAAGTGAGCTAGCCCCCTCTACCTTTTCAGCAGCTCTTCACCCCAGATGCCAGCCCTGTCAGTAACTGCGAATAGCTGAAGGCAGAACTCCCAGCAGGACCAGATTCATTCTCCACTTGGCCTGAATTAGAAATATAGGAGAAACTGGGGAATAAGGGAAGGGAATTTCCTTAAGTCTTCACTCCAGGGTTATACATGCCCAATATAAAGAAGCAAATCAAACCAGATAAACTCATGAGAACTCAAGTCTCATTATCCATAGGGAATTCATCCTCTCTGAAAAGTTCCTCACAGATGGACTCCAATTACTGTTGGGATCATTCTTTCCAGAAAGATCTTATACATGTTCATTATCTCCATGTAGACATTATGTGTATGTACATATGTATATGTGTATATATATATATATATATATATATGTGTGTGTGTGTGTGTGTATACATATATATGAAGTCACACTAATCATTTACAGATAAAATCCTCATTTCAAATTACCGT